CGATTTTTAGTGTTATTATATTTTTTATTAAAAAAGGCACCTATCCTGTGCTAAAAGGATAGTTGCCTAATTTTTTTTTAGTATAGATGCCCTTAGGGCCATGTCCCATGCACCTAAGGGCATCTATCCTAACCTGCTCTTTTTGTCACAGGTAGCAAGTAAGAAGAAAAATAGAATGTAGTACGGCTAACCTTAGGAAAGTAATAAATAGGATCCGCCCTTCTGATCGAATTACCTTTTTACCCGACTGCGCTAGAAGGAGTAGTATTATTTTTAATAAAAAATATTAAATTTCTTTTTAATTCATTTAATAACAAACAATCTTAAATAATAATACTTGGCTTGTTTGATTTCAAAATGCATTTGATCCTTAGAATTTAAAAACTATATTAACGAGTCATGTATCCCTGCAACAGGCATCTATCCTTTGAAGCAATCATACAGTGAGTCTTCTATCCCCCACATTAGGCGTCTATCCCACTTTTTAGAGGTCGATTAAAATGGTATTTTCTCAGAATCGGTATAACTTAAATTCAAATAATTATAATAATACCATAGACGAAAGACCAAAGTTTACAGATACTAAGGTCAAATTGTTGATAAAAACTTACTGACTGAGTTACAGAGCTGTTTCAAAAAGTGGGGCATCTATCCTGGACTTACCCTACTCTGACAAATCGTTTAGAAAACTTGTTACCCTTTTAAAGCCGACTGTACACAACATACCAATTGGGAAACATCAATTTACCAGTTAAAAAGGATTTTTTCATATTGGTCGGTAATTTCGTAAGTACTTTGCATAAATTATTTAAATTTTACTTAAATTAATTGCGATTCAGTAATCATTAATTACTTAATGCTACATTAATTTAAGTATGGGAATAATTTCGTCTTCAAGTTCAATTAAGATGCGTACTTTACAATATTTCAACATTTTGATAAAATCTTTAGGGTAATAGCTTCTGCGATCTGAAACTCATTAAGCAATGAGGGTTTTCGCGAATGAAAGATCCGCTAGATGGCGGGACGTGGATGTGGGGGGACATTATCTGTCAATGTCATGTCAAATTCTGTAACCAATCATGCAGCATTTGGACCTCGCGTCTACGTATTGCCATCTGGCGGATTTTTCATTCGCGAAAACCCTCATTAGATAAACATGCTTGTGTTACGAGTGAGCTTTTCACAATAGACCAGCGTGGCGGGGTTAGAACGAGCGTTTCTCGGATTTCGAGTCAGCCAGTTCACTTTGGGCTAAATTAGGTTCATCCAAAATTAAAATTATAAAGCAGAAAGACCCTTAATATTTGCCAACCCTATTCACAGGCGATTGGGCAAACGCAACTGCGACATTTGGCCAACAATGCGTCGTTACAATCAGATGTGCGTTACTCAGTTGTAGTTATCTGGACGATATCTCCATCCCACCGTTACGGTTGACCACGACCTATAGCTATCAGTCATCTAAATGGGTTTGACAAAGAAATAAAAAGGTTTGAGGTCTGATATGTCTGAGTTTAAGCGACAGCCGAAATGATGATAATGGCTTTTGAACCGTTAGTCATTGTGACAACCAATTATAAGTAGCAAGAAGAAAAGCAGTTAGAGTTAATATGTCTATAGATATTTCTGGCTATTTTATTGGAATACTTGGTTTTATTGAAAGCTGTCCTTAAAATCTTCCTTTCCAGATTTTCTTGAAAAAAAAAAGGCCTTTCTTCAGTCCCGTTTTATACATAAGTCTTACCTACCTAATTACTAATTTCATTTGACTCCAATTACTTTCACTGTGTGATATCTTTAAAGATAAATACGTGATAGGTTTTTTTTTATCACTCGATATTTGTTAGCGGTGTAACAGGACGTGGTGCAAATATTACGTTCCTTTTAGATATCTTACCCAATAAGCGAAAGTAGACAACACATTTTAAATATTAAATAGCGAACATATGAATAGGTGTATGTATAGAATACATAGAGTATCCTACACTTAACATGTGGTGTGTAACTCTGTTGAATAGGGTTCCAAATTGTAACAAATTTCTATGTGGGAGTGTAACAAGTAAGTATGCGTAGGTTGTAATGATCTAGTTTATTGTTTAATTATTAATTAGTGCAGTGTTAAGCAGGCGGAAGTTATTGTTTGAAAGAATAATTGCCTATAATTCCATAATGTAATAATTGTCTAAATATAACGTTAAATTGGGAGTTCTTTAGCAACAAAATAAATCAATACATAAAGGAATTAGATAGCAATTAATCAAATTACCCCATTTCCAGCCATTTTTAGCCATTTTTTTTTAGCCGGAAAACCCATTTCATCTTTAACATAGGTACATGACAAGTAATCATACGCCCATTTTCACAAATTTTATTATGAAGTCTTACAGTGCGCGTGGACGCACAGGGTGACAAATTAACCAATCACAGACCTTTATTCAACACTGTGCGTTCGGTTTGCTGCTTCACTTAAGCAAGCATTGTTTGTGAATACTGGTGATAATGCAATATGAACATAGACTCTACCAATTGTAGACTTATATTTAAGAGTTACTTTTTAATTAACTTCAACACATTCCTGCTCATTTTCTGTGCGTTTGAACCGCCAACAAACTCTAGAAAGAACTTGTAGTATACTACTCATTCTTAACACAATAAAATTAAGAAACAATGCAGTGTGTTGCAAGATAACTGCGCACGCGTCCGTTGGCAAACAGACAGAGATTAATGTTCTAATTAGCTGCCTTTCGGTGTACGATGGTCACTGAAGTTGCGACAGGTCCCTATTGATTGTACATGCAAAAATTGGGGCAGATATATTAATCCTATACTTATTGACAAACAGACAGACAAAGTTATTAATTAATTTGTGCGTACACAGACAATACATGTCATAAAGGTTCAACTAAGCGTCAATCATATATTAGTAAGTGCTCTTTTAGAAATAAATGTTAACCAATGGAATGCGTAGAATTATCCCATAGAAGTCTAAATTTTGTAAAAAAAATCGAGTAATAGTTTCATGTGAGCAATCATGAAATTAAAAAGTATCAGTTAGTTATGTAAGTAATACTTCTTCACCTTTATTTATACGTAATAAAGTTTTGAAGAAACGAATGATGTTTCCGAAGGACTAAAGAACTAACGAGTATTATTCACTTAACTACGGTAAACATCCATATCCTCGTTATCAAATGATAATTGTTTCTACACAATCTGAGAGTGTTTTTAATATCGTGTGGATTTCATCTCATAACGGACCCATGATTGTCCCGCGTCCCGCCATCCCCTGCCTGCGTGCGTATGAAAACACATACGTGACACAGAGCAATGGGGCGCAATCCCACGTGGGTGGTGCAATCCGCACAATATTAAAAAAAACCCATAAAGGCGATTTTAAAAACTAAAAAACTCATAAAACTCATTTATTTCTGTAAATAGGCTTTAAAAAAGCACTTTACACGTCCCAGTATTAACCCTACCACTGCTTCAGGACAATAAAATGGGCCAGTGCTGAGAAGAAGCAGCGCAAGAAACTCAGACACTACAAAATTTTTAATTACAAAACAGTCAAATGACTTCACAACATCAAGAACTATCGCCTCCATTCCGGTGACATTACAACAATGTGGGTAATAAATGTTAATACTAGAAACAATACGAAATTGCGCTTTCACTGTTACAAGCAACATGGTAATAAAAAGCACGGTGACGTCACCGCAATGACTTAATGTTTGGGCACTTTCGCTGTTGACTTAGATGCGCGTACTTACAAATACATAGAAAGAAAGAAAGAAAGAGAGAAAGAAAGAAAGAAACATTTATTACGATGAACATTTGTTACTGTTCAATGGAAAATTATCACGAAATTAATTAACAGACAAATGCTTTGAAACCTTTCAGGAACGATTTGTGAGTAATTTGCTAGTTTTAAATCAACCTTAAAAATCTAGCAAATTATTGTTTTCTGTGTCAAAGTAGGTATCTGAATCAGTGCCTAGTTACTAGGCTACTACTGTAGTGGACATTCAATATCGCGTATTTAGATCATTCAACGACTGTTTTGTAGGAAGCTAACATTGGGGCGTAAAGTGATGATGAAATTGAAGTGTAATCAATTTACATTAACTGGAGGTCTATTACCATTCTAGTTTTAGATTCTGGATTTTTTATTGGATTGGATTCAATTATGAAAAAAATACTTATCTACATCATAGTTAGATCTTTTATAATGCGAACAGTTAAGGACTGGAATTCGCTGCCTGCTGCTATCTTTCCCAAACACTATAATCCGGGACTTTTCAAGGCGAGAGTCAATAGGCACTTATAGGGCAGATATGTACTAGACTGCATCTCATTTAACATCATTGTGGTCAAATACCTGCCTTGTTATGCATAAAAAAATAGTGTTAACTTCCGGAAAATTTTCCGCCCCGCTTTTCCTCGCCGCGTGGCCTACGTTACGTCACTCACGCGCAACTCCTCGGTATGCGGCCATTTTGTAATTAAGATCTACTTACTATACCGTGATAATGGAGGTTATCGCGGTACTTTCCAACGTTGCAAAAGTAATGCGAGTGGGTTTGTGGTTACTTAGGTAAAGATGAAGTAGGTTAATATTTTGGACGTTTGTATAATCGTGTGCAACGCAAGGTTTGGGATTGGTTGGGTGATCTTTCCGATCGTATTATGTGATATAATATTGAATATTAATCTTCATATTTATAATTATGGCTTATTCTCTCACATTATGATAATTCTTTAAAATGTCAATCTCAGAACTGTGATTGATAGCACCAAAAAACGATGACGCCTTCCACTAATCAGCTTTAGACTCTTAAGGCCGGGTAGNCGGTGGCGGTTCAATTCCAGTCACCAAGCCGCCAGGAAAAAATCTTTTCTTGCAATATCAAATCAAAAATGTAACGTCAAATCATTTGTATCTGTGATATTTAACTTAACCCGTGTAATGTCAGTGTAATTGCTATTGCTACACTATTTAGTACTTTAATGCATTGTCTTAAGATGCAAAATGATAAATAAAAACATGCTTTCTCCGTGAACGGCTTAATCCACATTAACGCCACCCTTCACCTTGTAAGTACTTATGAAGAGTTTACTATCGTGTGTTTATTTATTTTTCTATACGGACGACAGCACATTGAAATCTTATCTCGTTGTAATAGAGGCTATTTTGCTGCAAAAATGTTTCACCTGATGTGATATCGACTGTACAGTCACCGTCAAATAGTTCCCCAAAAGTGGCCAAAAAGTTGACAACACAATCTTATTCCAATGAGGGTTTTCGCGAATGAAAAATCCGCCAGATGGCAATACGTAGACGCGAGGTCCAAATGCTGCATTATTGGTTATTTTTGACATGACATTGACAGATAATTATGTCAAAATCCACCAATCACGCAGGACCCCACATCCACGTCCCGCCATCTAGCGGATCTTTCATTCGCGAAAACCCTCATTGTAACAAAGTCGTGTTGTGAACTTATTGGCTATTTCAGGTGTCACGAACTAATTGACACTGACTGTACCAAGTGTAAAAAGATTTGAAGAAGATATGTATTGAAAGCGTTTTCTGATCAGGTTCAGAGGTAGCCAGAGTGGAAATGGGCTCGGAATGCAGGGAGCTGCCTTCGCCCACCCATCCCATACCACCGTTAGAAGACATCGATGCGCCCAGTCAGTATAAACTTTTAATAAAGCCAAAATTATTCGAAAATCTAGCATACCTACATAAGGCCGAATTGACGTTTGATAAATGTCAAAAAGTATATTTTTTGCAAGATTGCTGGAACTTTTTGGTCCCTGAATCATTCTGTATTGTAGAGCCATATATCCTTTAAGTTAATCATGACTATCTTTATACTTTTATCTTGCTATTTTTTTCGTACTTCTCCAAAAATATTACGATACTTTGCCTGCCACGAACGCTATCGAACATTTGTTGTATTAGCGCCATCTAGTAAGATTGTGGAGAACTGTTTCGTTGAGCAGAAAAGCCGCTAAATTTAGCACTGGCAACTTGCCGCTAGCAACGGATAGATGTCGCTACTAAGCACTGTCATCCCACATCTTGCGGATGAAAAATCTTTATTTCCCACTATGCAGATAAACAGAACATTCGTCGGTTCGAGAGCCTAAATAGTTTAAATTATGTTATAATAAGTTATACATTGTAAACACCAGTTCAAAATGACTTTCTACATTAGAAAACTTGCGGGCTTGTATAGGAAAGGTCAGGAAAACACAATTACTAGTAGAAACATCATTTGGCTTTAAGTCCGCCTTTTGCACGCTTTCACCACACACACTCATCGCTGGACATTTAGGATGTTGATTGTTTAAATTTATATTTGTTAAAATAAAACAAATTGCTAACAACTAAAGGAATTTCCATAATATCATGTTGCAAATGGCTTCGATTTCATTTTGCTATAATAATATAACACATATTTAATAACATTAACGTACCTACTTATTACTGACAAAATAACGAGCATAAAATTGTCTAAAAAATTTTTCACGCCAATATCTATCTTTAAAAAAATAACTTGCTAAAAATTTATATCCTAAACATCAGTCTCGTAATCGTTATAATGTATCTATTTTATACTTGAGTGGGTCGTCTGTCCACAGGGCAGCGCCATTCTAATCTACGCTAACATTTCAAAGCAAAAATTACTTCACATATTTTCTTCGACATTATTTCTTGTCTTTCAGGGCAATATTTATTAGTATGAAGGTCCTTTCAGGGCCCTTATACACATTCCAATGAGGGTTTTCGCGTATGAAAGATCCGCTAGATGGCGGGACGTGGATGTGGGGTCTGACTGCTGCGTGATTGGTGGATTTTGACATATCTGTAAATGTCATGTCAAAAATAACCAATCATGCAGCATTTGGACCTCGCGTCTACGTATTGCCATCTGGCGGATTTTTCATACGCGAAAACCCTCATTGCTTGCTCTACCGCCACTTCGGGACAATACGAGTAGGTATATCGGTTAATTCTAATGGTGAGTCCGCTCGCGCGGCACGCTGGTCATCCTGCTCACCCTGCTCTTGAGTGAGCAGGATGTCGAGTTTGCCGCGCGAGCCCGTTCGCCCAGCGTGGACGCACCATAAGAAGAAGTGGCGGAAACAACTCAGTCACATTATTTCTATTCACCCAGGGCAAGCGATGTCACTGCTGGTACCAGATACCTCGTACTCCTCGTCAGAAGGAGAAGATGACTTCTATGACGCGGATGATGAGCCAGTCGACATTCCTCAACCGGGTCCCAGGTATGTACAAACTAAATTGCATCTTAGGCCTATGGCCTACCTATGACGGTACTATATTGAAGGAGTGACGGAGCCGCGGACGGATATCCAATTTTACGACAATAGTGATAACACATAACAGGAATTTTGTTTTCAAAGGGGTCACTTAAAAATTAAGGATTGATAGACGTTGTCGCCGTTAATCTAATTATACGAAACATATTGGTGTCGTCGTATTCTTTGTATTACACTTATCATAAAAATAAACAAGCTCAGTATCTCTTTAAATGTAATTTCACTAAAACAGTAGTTAATTGGAGCAAGTTGATACATGTGAAATATTCCTCACCACGCACGAAGTTCGCGATGTAATTAAACTCAGAGTTAAAATTAATTTGCATGCCAATGGAGGCGGTCGCCTTTGCGGCCGAACGAGTAATAATAAACGCCCCAAAGCTTTGACACTTGTCTTGTGACACAGTCGACGTTTACATCGAAAGGATACCAAGGGCTACGGTAGCCGATTCAAAGGTTCTCAAATCGCTGATTAGTTAGCCGACTAGTTGCATCTAGCTATATGTCATGAACTGTATACGCAGATTGCAGTTACAATTTTCAAGAAAATGGAAAGGGAGCACGCTTATCATATAATCATAGAATAGAAGATTGAACGCATAAATACGGGTATTATTTGCATATTCGTGAAGCGTTTGAATTGCGTGAGAGAAAAAGTAGCTTTCTGTCAGCTTTTACACAGAGGCGCAGTTGCGTTCCGTTTACGTTACAGCGACGTTTAAACTAGCTGTCAAAATGGCACCGTGATACGGATTTGTCAAAACAGCTGAAGTTCGTTCGTCGTCCGGTAGCGTTGCAGTTGAAAATTGTTAGCGCAATCGGGGCTCTGTAAATGACCCTACTGCCTTATCTTTATACTTTTGCGAACTTTGACATTATTAACTCAAGGCTCTGCGTCGGTTTGGACTTAATAAGAATTAATTAAAATTGCTAACATAATATTTTCTTCTCTTAGATCAATCAAACTTTGTCCCCTCGTTGATTAATTTTATGAAGTTAAAGTGTATGTTTGGTTCCATCTTTTCGAATGTCCTACGCATGCTATTAATAGAGTTGCCGATTACAAGTTTATTTGTTTTTAAACGACTTAAGGAAGAGGTTGAATTGTAACGCTCTCAAAACTGAAAAAGTTTGTAATAAACCCTTACAAACAAAACTTTTGTTAACGATTAGGGTTAAGTAGGTTTTCTTCGTTGCCATTCGTCATGACTGTATTTTGAAATGCTTTCTACAGTCAGCGTCAAATACTCGTAGTTCGTGACACCCACAGAAGCCAATAAGTTCGCAACGTCTTATTTACAATGAGGGTTTTCGCGTTTGAAAAATCCGCCAGATGGCAATACGTAGACGGGAGGTCCAAATGCTGCATGATTGGTGGATTTTGACATATCTGTCAATGTCATGTCAAAAATAACCAATCATGCACCATTTGGACCTCCCGTCTACGTATTGCCATCTAGCGGATCTTTCATTCGCGAAAACCCTCATTGAGATAAAGAATTTTCATTTGCCCTCTTTATCAAAATTGAAAGGAAATCTATTTTGAACTCTATGGTCATCTTATTCAGGATCTTTTAGAAGTCGTTTAAAGATATAATCTACAGCGCTAACTCGGAACTGTTATTGTAACAGTTTCCACCGTGCGCTTTGCAGTTTTTCCCCCATTGTCTGCTGGTTACGTCACTGGCACAGTTCAGTTACCCCGTTCAACAATAACATACAAAAAATATGGGCAATTAAATCATAAAATTATCACATCTAATTTCCTTGTTCCGTTTTATTTACGCATCAACGATCGAAAGTCGAACTAACGAATGATTGTCGAGAGGAAGCAAGCAAGCATTAATATTACTTGATAGATAGAAAACCCTTTATTACACAAGATTATAATTAAGGCAGCACTTAGATTAAGTTAAATACGTTGTAAATATTGATTGTCTTCCAGTGTATGTCTTGTTGGTTGTCCTATTAAATAAATAAATAAATAAAAGATAAGAAAACAAATAAATATACAATTTAGGCAGCCTTATCGCTTACTTTTCATTTAATAAAACATTACGGATAACCTGCATGATAGAGTAAAGTAAACACACACTCAACCGTCCATTTGTTAACTGTGCCATGGTAGGGGACCGTATGAATGAGACAAAGGTTGTTATTAGTCTGTTTATTAACGTGAACTACGTAGGTATTTATACGATATAGATTCAAGGTAAAATACGTCACAGCATCAGCTAACGTGTTAAATGTGCTGACACTGTGAACGTGATCAAGATAATTATGCTTGTTTAAGTGAAGCAGCGAATCGAACGCACAGCGTTGAATAGAGCTCTGTGATTGGTTCGTGTGTCACCCTGTGCGTCCACGCGCACTGTGAGACCTCATAGTAATGTTTGTGAATAAGGGCGTAAATAATGTGCGTACTGGCACATTAACCCTCGCAAATATTCGTCTTATATTAGCATAAATTACTAAAAATAGCAAATTATATTTAAATATGCCAATAATATATCCCTTTATAAATAATCGGTATTTTTCTTACGCAATCAAGTTTATTGCCAGCCAATCGGCGAAATGTCCTCCAAGGTGGAAGGTTAAATCGCCGCGTTCCACCCTAGACCTCATTTCCGTTACCTGGGGTGATTGGGGTCGAGTGTAAGCTGATGAGTTATTTCTATTTGTTACATAACGCCGCGAACGACGCGAATATAGGATAGCTAATCCTCCCTTACAAACTAGCTTTTGCCAGCATGAATTCATTCTGTCGCAGAAAGTTCATTTTTCGGGTTAAATAAATATAACCTTTTTTTTTTCAACTGGAAAATGCATGAAACTGCATACTCACCGGCCCGGCAGAGCCGATGAGTTATGTGGGGCTATCCTCGCCTGAAGGGCAAGGCCTGCCCACTAAAAACCAGTCGGGTCCCTCTGGTCGCGCTTAGTGGAGCAGCATACGAGTCGGTGAATCGTTCGCATGCCTGCCCCCACGCAACGGCCGCAGCCTCGCTCTACAGACCCTTACCTATATTAACACTCACATTTTTTTTTACACTGTGTCATCTAGTCCCAATATCTAAGCAAGGCTTGCTGAAAACTGATGCTTTATCCCCATGCATCATCTCGAGGTGATTTAGTCTCTACTCTTCTGACTGGAACACATCCCTATCCAGTATCCAGTTATCAGACAAACGGATTGTTGATGTTATGCTACTAAACTGTTAAGTGATAATGTCTTTTTAGGTTAAATTATAAATATTTTCCAAAGTTGGTCTAAAAACTTAGTTATAAAAAGTCCAGTTTTCTACTGTTCAAACGGCCTATTCCTTTAACAGCATATCTTGAGTACTAGACCACAAGCTTACTAATCTTGAAGTCTACAGCGTACAAGATGTCAGCTTTCAAATAGCCCTCCTTCCTACCCAACTACTAATAGGAGTTCCTTATTGTTCCAAACGTTAGTGTTTATTTATATGAAGCAATCGATCGACCGCATTGGTCTCCGGATGTTAGCTCTGCGGTATATTTATACCACCCTCCATGTTTTCGTTCGAAGTTACCAATGAGTCCGTAATCGGAATCAAGCTTCCGTAAGAAATAAATAAAAAGCACAACGTACACGACTCCATTGAAGTTGTTTAGCTAAACTTCTTATTTCGTGGTTGAAATGCTAAAGCAAATAAATATTATGCAACATCCAACTGATCTAGGAATTAGAGGTGATTCTTTATAAGTATACAAGCAGAACAGATTAATGCTGCAAACTTCAAATCTATCGGCTATTAAATAAAAAAAAACCGATATTTAAATAGATCTCACAGGAAATGCTGTTGCTTTTGAAAAATAGAATCAACCCTTCTCGTGTACACGTCGAAAAACACGTTGTTTTTATTTTTATTTAAAGAAAAAGGTCAAGGTCGCAAAAAGCTTCTTTTCGCAGTCATGAAACTATTATATTTTTTAAATTAATTTAAAAATTATGCGTCCACTCAATCACACTTTACTAAACTCTTAACACGCACCTAAAAATCTTCATAATATCTTAAACATCCTAGGTCACCACACTGTGTGGTCCCATCGCTCTATAGCGGGATCGAACAAACTTATATTCATAGGTGTATTTTTTTTTGCGTCCACTGATCCACTCGTAATCACACTTAAGCCCTAACACGCCATAAACGTGACCTAAAATCTTTATAATCTCGAGCGACCTAGGTCACCATTGCGTGGTCCCATCGCCCCATAGCGGGATCGATGTCCGTTTCTGGGTCGCACTCGCGCTGAAACCGGTCGACGACCTTTGAACCCGCAGTTCGTTTCAGGTGATAAAGCAAGATGGCTGCTTTATAAGTCAATCCTATTTTCCGCGAATTCTAAGCCCGTAAACGTCGCAAGTTGCATTTCAATGTGAAATAAATACTTTATATTTTTTTCTAAACACTGAATACCCATAGGCACAAAGATGTGCATTGTGCATTGCTTAGAGTTTAAAGCATCAAGTAGTATTAATTCAGAACTACAGATCGAGCATGAATAAATGAGAGTGACAAGCATTTATAAAAGTTTTACTAGAATGATAGAGTCAGTTTTATTGTGATAATACAATTTGACGTTCAACTAACTGACATGAAAGTAAAATGGTATAATGCTGTAACCATGTTGTCTGTCTGTCAATTAAGATGAACCTTTTCGCTGGAACATGTATAAGCACACGCATTAGGTTAAATCTAATGTTTTTATTTATTTTAAATGAAATAATTTATTGACTATGGCAAGTGATTATAAGGCCCGAAACTGCGTTAAGCGGACGCCCGCGCGGTTTCATACTAAAGTCCCCCGCGACGGTGCCTGCTTAACGCAGTTTCTGCCCTAATGGCATATAATGTAAAACTGTACCGGTATGAAAGTAAATAAAGAGTTTACTTCGTGTGACAGAATCAGAATGCTGT